TTCGTTAGAGAGAAGAAGGTTAAGAGGTGACTTGATAGAGACATACAGGATGATCAGAGGATTAGATAGGGTGGACAGTGGGAGCCTTTTTCCTCGGATGGTGATGGCCAGCACGAGGGGACATAGCTTTAAATTGAGGGGTGATAGATATAAGACAGATGTCAGAGGTAGGTTCTTTACTTAGAGTAGTAAGGGTGTGGAATGCCCTGCCTGCAAAAATAGTAGACTCGCCCACTTTAAGGGCATTTAAATGGTCATTGGATAAACATATGGATGATAATGGAATAGTTTAGGTTAGATGGGCTTCAGATTGGTTTCACAGGTCGGCGCAACATCGAGGGCCGAAGGGCCTGTACTGCACTGTAATGTTCTATGTTCTATGTTCTATATCCACCAGTGATGTAGGGATAGGGAGGCTGCAATGTTTAGTTTGGTGTCTCTGAGATGAGAGATCGATGGAGGTCAGTCTACAATGAGGCATTTATGACTCTTAAGGAATAACATAGGAAGGTCTGCACATAGACACAGGTCATAACTCAAAGCCCTGTCAGTACCAGTTAACAGATCTTCACTGCTCCTCTAGAACACTGCCTGCTCAAATCCCTGAAGTCAGGGCTCAGACCCACACCTTCTGATCAATCAGGACATTACATGTCAGTTTGTGAGAACTAATTCGAAAATTAGACATCTGGACTCCAATACGATAAGGAAGCAATGTTTTATTGTCTTTGGGAAGCATATATTTATCTTGGAATAATTTTATCCAGTTTCACTGTGGTCAAACTGTAATATGTTTAAGGCTGTTTGGACTTCGAGCATTAAACATGATGTTAGCAATTAGAACACGTGACATGCACCAAGATTAGAGATACTGTGTCCACCTAGAATGGGGCTTGTAATAGTGTTTTATGTCTAAAAGTCACGAATATTAGGAACCCATTGGAGAGCCTTGGAGTTGCTCCCCGTGTGTGTGAATAAACCAATTCTGTTTTAGACTCAGACTGCCAAGTGTCGACTCTATCATTTAACACTATCTACTCGGCCTTGCAGTACCAGAGGCTTCTTCGGTAAAAGCAGAGACTCTTGTGAATATGTTCAGTGACTGAGCACCACAGTGCCACCCAAATTGATAACATAAAATTTATTTTCTACCAAGCCCAGTTTTCTCTGAAATCTGACCTCCCCAGTATCACCATCAGCTAGGATCATAAGAATGTTTTTGGGAAGCTATTGTAGTTGAATTAGGTGGTTGCGTTTATCACTGAACAGTTGAACATTTTGGGTTTTTGTTGATTTACTGATATGGTAATTGAGCTCTACTTTCAAAAACCTAACAAATTACAAAAAAAAACCCATGGACACTGGAAATCTGAAACAAAAGTATAATGTTAGAGAAACTCAGCAGGTGTGACAGCATCTGTGGAGAGAGAAACAGAGTTAATGGCTTTCAATTCTCCCCTTACAGACTCTGCATTGTCTGAGCTAATAACCTTCCTCAATATTGTGTTAATTTTCTCTTTAACCAACAACACAACTCCACTGCCTTCTCCTTTTTGTCTGTTGTTCCAAAATACTTGTGGTGGCAGGTGGGGGGTGGGGGGGGGGGGGCGGGGGGTGGTGAGCGGAGAGGCAAGGGGGAGAATATGAGGAGTGAGATGCAGGGAGGGGTGGGCAGGAGTGGTAGGGTAGGGGGTATGAGGGAGCAGGCGTGGTGGAGGGCAGGTGGGCCTTGAACCTGGCTAAATGGTAGGGACACTACCACTGCACTACAACAGCCCCCAAAAATGTGCTGAGCATTTCCAGCACTTTGTAAAGCCATGCATCCTATTCTTTCACCGAAGTAAGAACGGGTTGATCTTCTCTGGTGACCATTGGGTTAAATCAAAGTGAAATCCTGGAGGGATTGAGAGAAAGCTCCAGATCACATGGTAAAATCAAAGCTGCAATCCTTCCAATACTCAACCATTTACTTCATAAAACCACTTTCAACCCTGTAGTAATTTTTTCACTGATACCTCGGATTATGGTTGTATCTGCAGTTCTACTGGAAGACTCATTAATGCAGTTAAAAATTGAAAGGAATCTCTCCCTTCCCAGGGCTCTTATAGAAACATAGAAGATAGGAGCAAGAGGAGGCCATTCAGCCCTTCGAGCTTGCACCGTCATTCTTCACAATCATGGCTGATTGTCCACTTCAACAGCCTAATCCTGCTTTCTCCTAATAACCTTTGATCCCGTTCGCCCCAAGTGCTATATCTAGCAGCCTCTTGAATACATTCAATGTTTTGGCATCAACTACTTCCTGCGGTAATGAATTCCACAGACTCACCACTCTCTGGGTGAAGAAACTTCTCCTTATCTCCGTCCTAAATGGTCTACCCCAAATCCTCAGACTGTGACCCCTGGTTCTGGTCACACCCACCATCGGGAACATCCTCCCTGCATCTATCCTGTCCAGTCCTGTTAGAATTTTATAAGTCTCTATGAGATCTCCCCTTATTCTAAGCTGGGAGACCTGTGTTCAAGTCGCACCTACATCATTCACAAAATATATTTTAAAATCTGAAGGAGAGTCATGCTGGACTTAAACATTAACTCTCTCTCCCAGACCTGTGGAGTTGCTCCAGAATGCTCATCCGGTTCAGATTTCCAGCATTTGTCATGTTTTGCTTTTACTTTTAAAAAAAAAAAGCCCTCCCAATTTACCCTATACAACTTTCACCTATTGCCAGCTTTAGAAAGCGTGTGATCTGGCTGGAGAGTCTTGTCAATAAAATATACACACATTTCGGATCAGAGACAAACCAGAAAATGTGATTTGTGCCAGCCAGTGGTACTATGGTGGCACAGTGGTTAGCACTGCTGCCTCACAGTGCCAGGGACCCGGGGTTCAATCCCATCCTCGAATGACTGTCTGTGTCGAGTTTGCATATTCTCCCCGTGTCTGCATGGGTTTCCTCCGGGTGCTCCGGTTTCCTCCCACAGTCCAAAGATGTGCAGGTTAGGGTGGATTGGCCATGCTAAATTGCCCGTAGTGTTCAGGGATGTGTAGATTAGGTGGGTTACAGGGGGATGGGTCTGGGTGGGATGCTCTGAGGTTCGGTGTGGACCTGTTGGGCCGAAGGGTCTGTTTCCACACTGTAGGGATTCTATGATGACACAGCCAAGTGAGAGAGAGGGACAAAGTTAGATACTGAGACATTGGAAGAAGCCGGAAGCACAGTACAGAGAAAGGAAGAAAAACAAGTCTGCAAGAGGCACAGACTATACATTGACACCACTAAATGGATGTTGAGCGACTCAGTGCAAACAACAAGAAGCAAAATTACCTGATAAACCAATTCTCTTTTTCAATTGGCATGATGCTTCACAATTTCTGAAAAATCCTTTTCAAGTGTCTTTTCAACAGAAATGTTTGGTTTTATATAAAAAGAAACAGTTTGGGTTCCTGCCCACTCAATGGCTGTCAAGCAACAGCCACATCCTGTGAACAAACATACTACACCCCTTTTACAATTCCCAGAAATCACGTGATTAATATAATCCACCACTGAAATGATCACTTAATTGTTGGGTCTTTTCCTAGTTGGCAAGATGGGGTGCCACAGGGTTCAGTCCTCAGGCTCCAACTGTTTACAATATGTATTAATGACTTGGATGTGGGAATGAAAAACAATGACTACAAAATTTGCAAAAGTCGCTATAATAGTTGGAAAAGCAAGTTGCAATGAAGGAGTAAGAAATTTACAAATGGCTATGGATATGTTATGTTAATGGGCCAAAGTTTGGCAGATGAAGTTGAATGTGGGTAAATGTGAGGTTATCCATTTCAGTCAGAGGAATAGAAAGGCAACTTATTATCTAAATGGAGAGAAACTTCAGAGTGCTTTGGTGCAGAGGGATTTGGGTGTCCTTGTGCATGAACCACAGAAAACTAATCTGCAGGTACAGCAGGTAATGTGGAATGCAAAAAGAATTTTGGCATTAATTGCAGAAATAACCACATAGAGGCTGGTATACTATCACCAAGTCACCTTTTATTTACACAAGGACAGTACATAGACTCTGACCAGTGGCACGGTGCCAGACCCCAGAGTGAACAGACTCTCTGACACTCCTGTTTATATCTGTCAGCCAGGGGTCCTTGATTGGGCCTGTTATCCCTGGGCCAATCAGGGCTCTCATACTTAATGAGATCCTCCCGGCCAAGCTCGTTCCAATCACTACATACCTCGTCCACAAAGTCCAGCGATGTAGGCCGGTTCTTTTTCCTGTGGCTTCTCCTGGGATGTTCTCGCCCCAGGGCCATTTCCTCCAACATGGGGGGTGTGTACAGGAACTGTAGCGTGTCTCTTGTGGCCGGAGCATCTCAGGAGAAATTCTTCTCCTTCCAGTGGTAAGGTATCAAGGCTGCATCCATCTCAGACTCCAAGGTTGCTTCGATGCTGGACGGAGGAGGAGAACCCACAGCTTTCTGGCTGCTCTGAGGGGCCAGGTATGTTTTACTCCTTCCCCCTTTGCATGGTTGCAGCTTTCAGGTGATCCATATGTTCAGGGACTCCTCATCCACCTGAACTTTGTACATCATGGGACGTGACCTCACATTGACCAGGCCTCTTACCCATGTAGGGCCATTTCTGTGGTTTGGAGACCAAACTGCATCCCCTGAAATAAACTGTCTCTCTCGATTAGAGGAGCCTTGTGACCAGTACTAGTGTTCCAGGTGCCGTTTTACCCTCCCTCCCCCGCACCCAGGTCTGGAAATATCGGGTTGAACCTGGTGCGGAGTCTTCTCCCCATCAGCAACTCTGCTGGAGCTATCCCTGTTGTTGCATGTTGGGTGATCCTATAATCGAACAAGAACCAGGACAGTTTAGTATTGAGTGAAGATGTTAGCTGTTTACTTTAAGCCAGCCTTCAATGTTTGGACTGCTGTTTCTGCTAGACTGTCGGACTATGAATGGTATGGAGCTATCTGAACATGCTGAATGCCATTTGACTTTAGGAAACATTTGAATTCCCTGTTGGTAAATGAAATCCCTTTGTCCGTGACCACAATACTTCCAGGAGTCTGTGTATTACGAACGGAGCTTGCAACTTTTCCACTTTCGTTGCCATGTTCGACGAATGATCTCTATATACCTCCAACCCTTTCGAATGGGCATTCACAGTGATTGAGAACATACAGCCCATGAAAGGACTGGCACAGTTGACATGTAACCATGCCCACAGTTTATGTAGCCATTCCCACGAATATCAGGGAGCTGCTGGTGGTAATTTTTGTCCTTGTTTGCACTCTGGGCACTGCCCCACCAACACAGCTATGTCTGCATCCAATCCTAGCTGCCAGGCACAACCTCTCGCTGACATTTTCATTCTGGACACCCCTGGTGGAGTTCAGTGACCTTTACTCAGAGCAGTCACTCTTACACCCCAGAATAATATGCTGTCCTCTACAGTGACCTGGTCTCACTGGGTCCAGAAAGGTCTCAGTTCTGGTTGCGATGACCCTTTTGTCTCCATCATCACCAACTGTTTCAGTTTTGCCAGTTTTATGTCCACAGTCAGGTATTGTCAGTGGTGACCATAAGGCTTTCCAGAAAGTTTAAACCAGAACGAACATGGTGGCTCAGTGGTGAGCACTGCTGCCTCACAGCGCCAAGGCCCTGGGTTCAATCCCACCCTCGGGGTGACTGTCTGTGTGGAGTTTGCACATTCTCCCTGTGTCTGTGTGCGTTTGCTCCAGTTTCCTCCCACAGTCTAAAGATGTTGTTGTTAGGCTCCTAATAACCAAAAATGCTGCAGATACACAAGCTGTCAGAAGAATTACTTGTTGCTTTTCCTCTTCCCCAATGTCATTTGCCCAGAAGAAAGAATGCATTCTTTGCACATACTAGACCAGTCTTCAACAGCAGTGTCAAGCAAGTTAAGCTTCCCAAATAAAGATATGACGCCAGAAATGCTTGCTGCAACTCAAAGCCAACTGTTGTGAGCAAATTTTCTTTGGGAGAATGATGTTTTCTCTTGTTGCCATTGAAATAACTGCACAGAAGCTAGTATCCCATCACCAAGTCACCCTTTATTTATATGTGCACAGTGGACAGACTCTGACCAGTGGCACAGTGCCAGTTCCCAGGGTGAAGAGATTCTCTGACACTCCTGTTTATATCTGTCAGCCAGGGCTCCCTGATTGGACCAGGTTAACAGTCTCAATGAAGGAACTCATACTCAATGAAATCCATCTGGCCACGCGCATTCCAATCACTACAATTGCCAAAGGAATAGAGTATAACATTAGGGTAGTGATGCTCCAATAGGACAGGGAATTAGTGAGATCCACAGAGGATGCCATATCCCTAGGCCTGCAGTCATCCCTGGAACATCTGGACAACAAAGACACCTACGTCAGACTCCTGCTCCCTGACTACAGCTCTGCTTCAGCACTATTATCCCCTCCAGACTGATCCCAAAACTCTGTGACCTTGGAATTGGCTCCGCCCTCTGCAACTGGATCCTCAGCTTCCTGACCCATAGATCATAATCAGTGAGGATAGGTAGCTGCACCTCCTCCACAATAACACTCAACACCTGCACCCCCCCCACTCCCCCTCCCGCCAAGGATGTACATCAATGGAGCTGAGGTTGAGAGGCACAACAACACCTCTTCTTCCTCAGGCGGCTCACAAAATTTGGCATGTGCATAAGGTCCCTCATTAACTTCTATAGATGCACCATTGAAAGCGTATTGTCTAGTGCAGAATGGCCTGGTATGGCAACTGCTCTGCTCAGGACCGTAAGAAACTACAGAAGGTGGTGTGCACAGCCCAGACCATCACAGAAGCCAACCTTCCATCCATGGACTCCATTTACACGGCTCACTGCCGCGGAAAGGCAGCCAACATCATCAAAGACCCATCGCACCCCGGTAACGACCTCCTACCACCTCTTCCATCAGAGAGAAGATACAGAAGCCTGAACACACGCACAAGCAGGTTCAGGAACACCTTCTCCCTGGCTGTTATCAGACTGATGATTAATGGACTCTCTAGCCTCCAAAAATGCTGATCTTGCTAACGTTGATCTTGCCTAGTGCAATGTAACCTGTATGTCTTTGATCTATATCTTTTGATCTATACATCCTTTGCTTGCTATGATCTGCCTGTTCTGCTCATAAACAAAACTTTTCACTGTTTTTCAGTGCATGTGACAATCAATCAATCAATCAATCAAAAAACACAAAGAACTGCAGATGTTTGAAATCAGAAATTGCTGGGAAAGCTCAGCAGGTCTGACAGCATCTGTGGAGAGAAAGCAGAGTTAACGTTTCAGGTCCAGTGACCCTTCCTCAGAATGTGATGGGAAAGGAGGGATGGATAAGGTAGTACAATAGCATTGTTAAAAAGAGATGAATTGATCACAGTCATGAAAGATGATCTCAGCTCAGATGATGTACAGTCCATTTGGGTGGAGGGTAAGTAACAAAACAGAAGCCACTCTGTAGGAAAGGCTATAAAGCAACAAATGATAGGATCATGTAAAAAGAATACAGCAATAATTATGGGTGACTTTAATTTTCATGTTGATTGGGTCAATCAAATTGGAAAGGATAGCTACAACAACGAATTTATAGAGTGAATTAGGGATAGTTTCCTTGAGCAATATCACATGGAGCCAATCAAGGATCTGGATCTGGTAATAGATAATGAGGCAAGTTTAATAGATGACCTTGGTGTAAAAGATGCCCCTGGAAGCAGTGATCACACATTGGTAGACTTTAATATTCAGTTGAGAGTGAGAAACCTGGGTTGGAAACAATTGCATTTAACTTAAATAGAGGGAACTACAATGAAATTGGCATTCATTTCAAGAGGGCTAGAATACATTAGCAGGGCTGTACTTCTGAGGCTGTATAAGACTCTGGTCAGACCACATTTGGAATATTGTAAGCAGTTTTGGGCCCCGTATCTAAGGAATGATGTGTTGGCATTGGAGAGGGTACAGAGGAGGTTTACAAGAATGATCGCGGGAATGAACAGATTGTCATATGAGGAATGGTTGAGGACTCTGTGTCTGTACTCAACAGAGTTCAGAAGGCTGAGAGGGGGATCTGATTAAAACTTACTGAATACTGAGAGGCCTGGATAGAGTGGACGTGGAGAAGATGTTTTCACTAGTAGGAGAGATTAGGACCCAAGGGCACAGCTTCAAAGTGAAGGGATGACCCTTTAGAATGGAGATGAGGAGGATTTCTTCAGCCAGAAGGTGGTGAATCTGTGCAGCTCACTGCTGCAGAGGGCTTTGGGAGCCAAGTCATTCAGTATATTTAAGACAGAGTTAGATTGGTTCTTGATTAGTAAGGAG